TTCCTTTTTCATTCTGTTCCCCACCACTAATTACGAACGGGATTTTATGGCCAATGACTTTAGTGCAGGATCAGAACACACCCAGCCATTATAAAAAGCCCGGGGACCCACAATGTGGTGTGGGCCTGGCGGTTAAAACCATGGGTTGGAGAGACAGGAGGGGAGAGCTGGTAACTGTTTCTCTTGGTTGCTCATTGAATTGTTGGTTTTCTCCTCTCTTGCCTTTGGCTTGTCATAAGAGGTTTTCTCTCCCCCATTTTTTAAATGGTTTTTCTGTTTGGCTCTTCTGCCCTCCTGCTCTCTTTCTCAATGTCTCTCTGTTTCTCTCTGCTCCACCAGTTTACCCTCCATCCACTCCCTCATACTCTCTCTCTCTCTCCCTGCCTCCCTTCCCCACACACACTCTCGCCACACTAAGACCTGATATGAACTTTTGACAGGAGCTTGGCTCTTTGTTTAATTGCCAGTGTTACTGTGAATGCCCTCGTAAATCTAATGCCGTAATGCCTTTGAAACGCCTTCTAGGCCATGCAAACTCCCTCTCTCTCGCTCTCTCTCACACACATCATCCATTTCTCATTTTCTCCCACTTCCTCTCTCTTCATGCACACCCTAGCGCACGCACAATCGAATGCACAGATGTGACGTGTGCGAACGAGAGCTTTGAGGTTGTTTGTGCTCACATTAACTAGACTACAGCTCCAATTTTTGTTTGCAATTTCCACTGGCGCTAGTCCAGTCCACCAAACCCACGGGAATTGAAGGATCAGCATCCTCTCGAAAGGCTTCTGAGCAGCAAAGGAGTGCAATGGGGTTGCTTTTATATCTGTTTTTTAGGATTTCAACTTTATACAAGAGTTTATAGCTGGTTGGAAGAGGGCTGAGTGCAGGGTGGGGGGAGTAAATAATATATTATAAGGCAGTACTGCAGAACGTTTGATAAAGTAAGGCTCTAAATGTTCTTTCCCTGCATTTAAATGAAATAAACACTAAAAATAAAACTTGAACGCTGCAACATGGTGAGCTGTAAGTTCAGGTACCATGATAATAATCAGAATATTGCGAGATATTTGTAATCATGACATGAAGCGGTCGTACATTAATACCTCATCAGAGGACAGACGAGGCCTTTCATTACTCATAAACTGTATAGCAGTTCAATCAGGAGAGATTCTATTCCAATTTAACGATACTGAAACAACATGCATAAATATGAATCGTGCAATATCTTGGGGGATTGAACTCCATCCAGGGGTGAGCATACTGAGGTTGGACAAGGCATATTCTGCCTTAGAGTCCAGACACCAGTGAAGACAGTTGCTGCAATGCGATGATAAGATGTTCTTTGCTACATCTGAAGTTTTTACAGTTTAACAGCAACAATGCTATTGGCTCACAGAAACGGTGCCAACAAATGGTTGCCTCATTTGAATGTGCCCACAGGCAGAGAGGTGGCAACCGGATGAATGATCAAGATTTCCCAGCTTGTCTTCCTGACTGAACCCAGGCAACCTGAATTTCAAAAATGGAAACCCACACCTGCAATTAAAGGTTACTGATACTCTTACGGGAATGTGGTCAAAGTGTGACACGTTTTGGACCGTAACAGTAACACTGTGACAACACCAGTTCTCACTGAGGCTGCTCATGCACGAGCGAAAGCAACAGCACAGCGAGAAGCATCAACATATGCAGTAGTTTTTTACCTGTAATTAAACAGTACTGGTTCCACGGGCTTTAAATGAGTGAATGAACAAACCTATGACATGCTGCAAAGGCCCTGAGCCTTTTGTGACAAGTAACGCCGTCTATCACGGTAACAAGGTTTAATCGCAGACAAACATTTAAGATGTTTTTTTCAGGTGTGGCAGTGGAGAAGAACACTGGGTCCAGACTGCACCGTTACCAGGGCCCCCTCTTTGTTGCCTATTACACTATTTGATGCCTGTGGTCCTTGCACATTCCTGTCTTTTTCTCTGCAGCCCTCATTTTGTTTTTTTCTTATTGTCTTTGTCTCATCTCTCTTTCTCTCTGTGCTCATACAGCTGATAACATGAATTATTTGCTGCACGCAAGTCCTCAGCAGCTGTTCTCACCCTGTGCCCCTCCTTGTTCCTCTGTCTTTTTTCTTTCAGGGTTAACGCAGAAGTATTTTTCTCAACTTTGTCACCTTTCCTTTCTCTCTGTGCCTGGGGATAAGCTCTCTCTCTCTCTCTCGCTCTCTCTCTCTCCAATTACACATCTTAAATTGCAGCCCTGTGTCTTTCCCTTATCATGGGACTGGCAGAAATACATGTTTTTTCTTCAGTCATGATATGAATTTTAGCCAACAAGTTCACAGTTATTTGTGTGTGTATGTCTTTGATGTGTGTATATGGCTGGTACATATCATATCCTTTCAATCAAGACTAACATGTGGACTCAAAATTCTTTGTGTTAATATTTAGTTTTTCATCGACTGTGCCATATGTACAACAGAGAAGATATTTTCATACTTTAAAGCCTTTTATAAGGCTTCCAAACTCGGCTGTAAAATAATTTTTTTACTTTTTCTTCTTCTATTTCTTCTGTTCCTTCAATCCTAAATTGCACTCCAAGCATATTTTTTTCATTTTTTTCAACATAAAAAATGAAGTAATTTCATGTTGAAAAGAAATTAGGGGAAATCCATCAAGAATAGCATCAGGCTAATTCAATGCAAAAAAGGGACAACGAAAGAGAAGCATTACCTTTGGCTCAGTTAAATTATGTATTTTCCCCATTCAGTTTCCATTGTTGGAAGCCAGGGCCGATCTGTCCAATTGTACTGCTGATCTAATTTCAAAGTGCTGCAGTCATGTTAAAGCAAGTTTTAATTGTGATAAGGAATATGCTTTCATGCTTAAACCCTTCTCGTCAGTTCGTCTCGACAGAACCCATAAATATTGAGGCCTTTTTTTCATTTGCAATTAAAATTAGAATTGGTCACATTTTTCACCGTCAGCCATTTCATTTGCACATTTGACGTGTGTGGGCCACACACACACACACACAGACAAATCCAGCACTTGAAGAGCCAGAGTTTGCCGTACCAGTGGACGCAGAGACAATTAACACCTTGCCTGATGTCCTTTGAGCAATAAAACCTGCACAGCTAAAAGTGCTCAAAGGAATTTCTAGCTTTGCAGTCTGACAGGGCTCATGAGTCACCACAGACTTAGCTGTTGTTCTTATGACACACGAGATGTAGGCTGCACCATGGTGTCCAGGGATACACAGTGAAGGGATTCTTTAGTCAATCCCTTGCATTGTAGTGCAAAGACAATTCTTGAAACTTTGTGTCCAATATTTCTGAGAAGGTGGAGCCGAGAGATGCAATTCTTGTTGTCAGTCGAAGTTTAGACAGCAGTACCTTTGAATCAAACATCAGTTATCAGACCTGTATCTGTATCTGTATCTCTGTAGCCTGAAAAAGATTCTCCTCTGTTTTGAGAATGTGCCCGTCTTTATATTTTCTCCACAAATGAGAGGAATACAAAAGAAAGAGGAAGACAAAGAGGATGAGTAACTGTGTATGGTGTCAAATCCATCACATGAGAAGATTAACATTTGTTTCATCTTTGTGCGTGCAGTATATCTACAATAGATATGGAATGTGTTACCCTGGCACGGAGAAACATAACCCAGGCTATTTTAAAAGCAAAGAAATACACCTTTTAATGAGTTCTAAAATGTGTCCTGGGGGAATTGAGTTCAGTGTGACTAGAGTCTGAGTGTGAATTAACTGATTCTGCCAGCACTAGCAGCGTTATTTCATTATATGCGTATTGGTCACATTTTTATTTTAATACAGCCGGCATGTTTGACAAAACTAATAGGACCATCATCTATTTATATTTATGTTACGTTTCCTATGTTGCCACTTATACGCTATAGATCATTGTGTCATACGTGTCATAAGGCTAAGAGGCTGGTCAGGGGACCCTCCTTTTGGAGGCCCATCAATTTAACAGAAAACAACTTCTTCAGTGACATGCAGCATTCCTAACACTGCAGTCAGACTGACAGCTTTCCGTGCAGTGACTTTCACACAGTCATTGAGGCTTTTATTTCAGACATGCTGCAGTCCAAATGCTTCAAACTGAGATCCTCACTTGGAGCAAGATTTGTTTCCAAGTCTGGAGAATAAACTATTAGTGACGGTGAGGGAACGGAAGAAGCTTGACTGGAGTTCGTTCCCCCTCACCTCAGCTCACTACAGCGTGTCTTTCCCACTGCGCTCGGCGTTGGTATTGGTTTTGGCTGACCTGGCGGGGCAGGCTCACAGCTTTAGCAGCTTGTTTATGCATGTCCGCGCTTGTGTTTCAGCAGAATTTGTGGGCTTGTGTGTGTGAATGACTGACTGTCTGCACCCCCCTGTATGCTTGCATTTGTCCCATGCAGGAAAGTTCTGTAAACCTCGCGCTGGGGGGGAGGTACTTTCGAGAGGGGCTGCAGGGGAGGGAGGAGAGGGGGGGGTGGGGGGGGGGGGGGTGTTGTTGTGCAGTGTGGTCTCATTACCCAGGTGTTTACCCCCAACCACAGGAAGCGCTTGTCAATGACGACTGTCTGCCGGAAAACATCGCCTTAGGGAAAGATATTGGGAGGAGGAGAGAGAGAGCGAGACGGAGCGCAGATGAATCATGAAACACGGCTTTGTATCTATCTATCTATCCATCTATCCATCCATCCATCTATTTATCCATCATCCATCTATTTATCAATCTATCTATTTATCTATTTATAGAACATCCAGAAGTGCATTCCTCTTTGTGTGTTTCTTTTTTTCTCAAAGTGTGTTTTTATGTGTGTCCGCGGGAGTGTTACAGTCAAACCCACACTGGCAGGTCATCGGGTTCCTCCACTCCTCCAGCAATCTGAGGGAGAGACTGAGGGAGGGAGGAGAGGCAGAGAGCGAGGGAGAGAGAGAGAGAGAGAGGGGGGCGGGGGGGAGAGGCAGAGAGCGAGGGAGAGAGAGAGGAGACATACAAGCTGTTGACAGGGATTTATGAGCTGATAGTGTCAGACTGCAAGCACAACAACAGTCTCCTTGTCTCTGCGTGTCTGCTTAGAGAGAGACTGACAGAACGGACGGGAGGAGGGGGAGGGGGGAAGAGAAAGTGAGGCAGCAAAATGAGAAAAAAGAAAAAGCAGAGTGAGGAAATGAAAAAGGAACATGGAGAAGGACAGTGAAAGAGGCCCAGACTATACACTGTTGTAAGCTTATCTCTCTTTGCTCCCATCACATTGCATACTTGCTTTCTTGAGACACTTTTCTCTCCCCTGTTCACTTTAACATCATCGTGGCATGAACGGAAATGTTTCTGTGTCGATTAGTGCCTGCTTTTGTTTTTGCTTGTTATTTTGCTGTGCACTCATGCTATTGCTGCTCTTTTGCATGAACAGAAAGATGATGACGAGGACTGTACACATATTCTGGCGAGTCAAATATCCTCCGTCCTACTGTTGAATCACATTTTTGAAAAAAGCTGATGGTTTGATGTTTCGTATCTTTACGTAGAAATAAAACCACTCTTCTAAAAACCAAAGCACGCCTGGATGTCCCTTGTGTCCAAGTGCGACAACATCACATGTTCATTTTTGACAGCTGTGCAATAACAAACCATCTATTGAAAACTTTCAGCATGTTATAGAAGGTAATTGTGTTTGCGTCTGCTTGTATGTGGGTGTTTCGTTATTTGTCATGGTGAGTCAGGGCCGTGCTCACTGGAAGACGACAAACTGACGTAGTCGAACTGTCTGTTATATCAGAGACACCGTCTGGTGGGTATTTTCGTCACATGAATCGATAATATCAGATTCTATTTGGGATGAGGCTGCTGTTTTCATACGCCGGTGTTGTCCTCACCCGACTAATCGATGCCGCTGTTACGAGGAAATTCATTCTTTATGAGTTACTTCTTTCATATAAAGTCATTTTGCTTATACGAACATTGTGAAATCTGTCAAGGACTTAAATCTTTATTCATAAGCTGTATCTACGTTATTGATCAGTTCTATTTAGTGATAAGTTTACATGGAATTCATAAGTGAGACTAAAAATAGGCTCAAGTCTAAAATCAAACTGTACATATAGACATCCTGCGTTTCTATGCAGACGGGCTTTTCCAAATACCACACCCTGTTAAGTGTTATGATTTTCATAATAACAATGATCCAGAAGTGAACTTTGTTGGTTTGTTGGCAGAGCGCATTCCCCTTACGGATAATATAGACTTTTTATTGATTCATATGTCAGTCCCTGTTTAATGGCATAGCATTAAAGTTGGTGATTTATGAGGTATTTTTTATTTAAATATAGACATGCTGAGTAATAATGTGTTTTGAGTTCCCCAGAAAAGCAAACGTCATTATGCGGATGGCTGACAAGTACTAGAACTATTCATATGGGGCGAAATGTAGAGACTGCTAAGTTATCTTAAAACATTGTGAGTTTTAAGTTCTACTCTAATTAAACAATCATCGCCCCGGGTTGGGTTATATTCACACAGTCCAGACGGGATACTCAGAAGAGCAAACTCAGGACCACCAGGAAGTTTGCTATAGTCTACTTGTGTATGACATATTTGAAATCCCTATTCTGCGTTTAAACATAAGAAAGTCACATTTTCTGTCCACATTTTGTACCATAATAATGTTCCTCTTTACGGTGCATAGCTTTTTCCTAATGTTTCTCATGTAAGTAGATCTGAGAGAACATCTTAGGATTCACAGTGTTCTACAGCAACCCTAATGTCTACAACGACATATTGATGTATGTGCACTGTATCTGTGAAGAAGCAATAATCCCAACGTGGTCACAGGGGAATAAAAACAGCATTATCAACATGTACTATGTAAAGCTCTGTGGATAAAAACTCACAGATTTTAAAGCCCTACAGTGACAATGTATGTGCAGCATTCCACTTTTATCATCCCACCATGAATTTCTAATGAATATTGCATTGGTCTGCGACAAATCTAAGGTAATATAAGGTTGAATAAAGAATTGTTGATGGTGTCTCAACAGGCTCATAGGAAACATGGGACTATAGTTGTGATGTGAGAATCTAGCAGGCTATGAATGATCCACTGTCTTCCACATCTGTGTTTTATAGCTTTTCCTGTATTTATGAGTTGAGCAGCTTGCTGCAGGGTGCCGTTGTTATCTCACTAGAGTAATAAAATCAGAACGAGCAACGTGTCATAAATAAAGTTGAAAACCTTGTTTTCTCATATGTTTGCGGTTCACCTACTGTGTAGCACGTCCACTTTGACCTGTAAGGATTGAAAGTGAACTATTGCACGAGCTGTGCACCGGACACACAGGGTCTCTGTGTGCATGTTAGGGGAAGGGGAATACAACCAAGAAAAGCAACGTGACCTGCACTGTTTGTGTGTCTGTGTCTCCTTCTCCTCCGCTCTTGTTTCAGGGATACGGACATGGCTGTGCAGGGGTAGGTGATACTATATCACCACACAAGTCCAGCATTCCAAAACTACAGCTAAACAACAGTCACGCGGATTGGACATACAATGTTGCTGACCTCGACCCAGAGTGCGTACAGTGAAACTATATCTGATGGTCACCAAAGGATACACACTTCTGAAATAATAATAGGTGTAACTAACTCTCTAGAATAATGTTTCCTTTTTTGATTTTTGCTGTTCACACCCCACTTGTTTATTTATTTTATTGAAAAATCACATATTTCCATCACACTACACTCTTTGTACATTCTTGACTATATTTGCCATTACGTCAGATAATTGGTTGTTTCTTTTGGGAATTCCCTTGTAGCCCGGGTGATATTATTGTTTTGATGACTTGGCTAATTAAAACTATACTTAGTATATACAGTATATTTATGTCAATGTTATCTAAGCTGAGACTTTTATGGCATTGGTTTGTTCACATACTCGTTCAAAATTAAATTGCAATCAATTCAACAGCTGTCAAGACATTTGACGTAAAATCCTAATGTAGCAGAAATCCAAGATTCTACCTAACCAATCATATTAGACTGTTTTTGAGAGATTTCAGCCTAGACCAGACTGGCTTCTTGCATGAGTAATTAACAGCTTTGGAAGTTTAAAACAGTTAAATGACATCATGAAAATGAGAGAACTAAAAATGCCAGAGCTCGGTAAGCCCTATTGCACCCCTGAAGTGAACAGTTTCGGACCCTTCCTATCTGCCTCCGCGACCTTTGTCTGTGGTTACTTTCCTCAGCTACAGCGGTCAGACCCGGGCCCCAGCTCTCCATAGACTGTTTATCACACTTCCTTTCCCACTCTGCTGGGCCCCCAGTCGGTCTGCCATACACAGAATTAAAGACTTAACTTAAAGACAGTACAAGTGGTATATTGCCTGAAATCAAAGGTAAAATAGTTTGCAAATTTTATTTCCAAGGAACTGTATGGCGTTGAATTGTATTAGACAAGGTGTTTAATAAATCTTCCCTAATTCCTTCCGCTAAGCTGCTATAAGGATCATGCTTTTGAGCTATATTGTAAACATGGCCTTTGTTAATAAAATACCTCCTTGTTTCTATGCTGGTTACTTTTTTAATGATACTTGGAGGCCCATCAATTTAACAGAGGTACATATCAGGTGGAACACTTAGTTCTACTAACCTCGTATTCATATTGAATATCCTCATATTGTTATATTGTGCGTGGCACAATATAACAATTTAATTGTATGCCCTAAGCCCTACTTTGCCCTATGTGAGGCGAACAGACATACACATTTTGTTATATTATCAAAACCTGTAATAGGTGTTTTTATTAAAAAGTCTATGGAAAACATTCCCACATCATTTCATCAATTTAAACATCATTTGTCTGTTATTTCCTCCATAGTTTTTCGATTGACGCTAGTATGTCACTTTCCCACTAACCGAAAGGATAAGACAAGACTTCTCGATCTACAGACAGCTTACCTCGAAATACACTTTGTAATCAAAAAGGCATACAATAATATTAGTTTGTAAAAAAAAAAAGATGTTTCTGTACTTTTTATCAAATAGGGCTCTGACACATACATACTGTGTAATGAAGAAGCAATAATGAAAAATTGACAGGTTTTATTGGACAATTAAGAAAGACATATGATAATCATAGCTGCATGGTGTTTTATGACACCTGTAATCAGCTGGCTTAATTGGACATGCCATGAAATGCAACCGTACACATTTTATCGTCCACTTGTGACCTCCGATGACAGCAATGGTTTCTATTTTGTTTTTCCTCCTACAGCATGTACCTCAGCCAGGATGCGTATGAGCCTGCCAGCCGTTAACCCCACAGAGGAAGTGTGCAGGAAATGAGATCAGCCTTAAAGAAAGGTAATGCCTGAGCCCTGGCACTGGACCAATAACTGTCACTCACTGAGATACTTAAAACACACAGAATTAAATGAAGGTCAGAAAAGAGAGTATAGACAAATTTAAAAATAAAGCCGGAAACACAAAGAAATCAAACACTGCCCACAAAAACAGAGGAAAGTGACACAAGAAAGCAGGACATTTAACTTTCACAATCAGTCTGTGAAATGTAAATCAGTCTGATGGGTTCGGTTGGAAAAACTTCTGTCAGAGGAGTTAAAAATATCTGTGAAGGGGTGGAGGTTGAATTCTTGCACCGAACTGCTGCACCACGTGGTCCGTGTTTCCCTCTGTGCTCTATATAATGTAATAGGGTAAAATGCAGAAGAGTAGAACATGAAAAATAAACAAACACTACACCAAAGCATTAAAGACAAGACTACCACAGCTCAACTGAGCAGAATGAGTGTTCAGTACAATGCGACAACAAAGTAACTATCAGACAAATTTAGTTTGAAACATGTTGTTTTTTCAGTAGCTAAAAATACCACGACGGTTGGGCCTACTTCAGTGGCTGTATGTGAAACTGTCTCTCTGCTCTGAACATATTCTCTTTACCAGGAAGTAACAGTGTAACTTCACTGCAGAAACGAGGTCTGACAGGCCTACAGTGTGCAGGTGTGTGGATGTGTGTGTGTGTGGATGATGTGCATATACATACGTGTATCACACTGGGGTTTTTTTGTAATTTTTTTTCTTATTGAGGCAGAAGCCATGAAGAATGATGAAACATTTACAGTGCCAGTTATCACCTACACTAGAGAACAAGAGCCGTTTGATAAAACACATGAATTTGATTTGTGTTAAACTCCTCACATTTCAAAGACTTCCGAACAGATGGATGGAACACTGACACGCCACAAAGTGAAGGTATCATGAATATTCCAGTTGTCAATCATAGATTTGTTTATTTGTCCGCCTTGTCCACCTCCTGTTCGTGTCTCATGATCTGGGTGCTACACGCGTAATGACACAGGAATACAGCATGTTATGCTGTTGTTATGTTGCAATACTTTTACTCACGTGTGGATGGCTGTACTCTGTGGTTGCATAATAGTAGACCTGTTTTTCTACTTGAGGGTGTTAAACAGAGAAAATGTTTCTTTCCGTCTACAGATGGGACACTTTGACAAAAGCAAATAGGAAGACGGAGCATCTTACCTCATTACAGGGTATAAGAATAAATGTCCAAGGTGACCTATGAAGATATTTGGTCATGACTGTGAACTGTTGAGCTTCCCACAAAAATATAATTCTTGTAAATGGTGTCTTTTTGTCATATTATTTGACTCACTGAATGACCGATGACACGGCCAAAGAAATAACAAATGAATGAACGATTAATCATTTGATTTGTTAAACAAACCAAGCGTGTGTCAGAAGGTATTTCCTTTAACCACATAACTGCATTTCATGAGATAACATTGTATCTTGCATTATTTATCAAAATTGCGGAAGAAATGTTGTATTATGTCAATGTAAATTGGCTAATTGTAGCGCATTAACACAACAATCAGTAGATGCACAGGTTACAATACACACAGAGGAGATGGACCTGGTTATCGGCTCAGCTAGACATCAGGTAGACATCAATCCACCAGCAACAATGAATCATAACATGACTGGACATGCCTGCATGTACCTTTTGGAGTAAAGAGTAAAATATGGCCCTTTGTTTTGATTATAAAGCAGCCGTCGACTCCGAAGCAGTAAACTTTGAAGTCATTACAAATATAACATGGAATTCTGAGGAATTCAATCACTTTAAATGTGAGATCTAAAAGCATTGCAAACTCAGCTTTCCCATATTCTCCAGGAAACCAGGGCAAACTAATTTAGCAGAAACAAGGGTGGCTGACTGATGCAACTCAGTGAAATTAGAGAATTCAGGGACCATAAACCACTTCAGACAAACTACTGAGTGTGTGCCGATGTATTTGTGCATGTGTTCAAATCAATGTCAGCATGTTTGTGTAGTGCAGAAGCGTATGTGCGTCTACCCACCACTGATGCACGTAAGAAAGAGATGCTTCATCACTACTTCCATGTTGAAGAACGTCTATTTTTACCGGAACTTCATTGATATGAGAACGACTCATGTTTAACGGACAAATGTTAATGATATCAGCAGCTTATGGGTCACATGCGGGGGAACTGAGGCAGCTCATTCATTTTTTAATCAACCACACTCTTACTGCTTGCTTTGCCAACCTTACAGTTTTGTGTCAGTGTGGCAAAGATAGGGTGAAAAAGCGGAATGCAACTAAATAAAGGAAAACCAACAACGCCACTCTGGGAATTTCACCCCGAGAAATAATCTGAAATGTACAAGGCCCACAGGTAAGTGTACTCGTTTTAGGCAGGAGACGCAGTTCAAGGTTTTAGAACAAGTACAACTTTATTTTAAATACCTTTAAAATCAGTGCAATTTAATTGAAATCAAAAGAAAATCAATAGAAAAATCAATTGAAAACCAATTAGAGGGCTGAAGCTGGTTGGGTGGACAACGCTAGGTGTAGAGGGGGTGGGGGGAACCCACCAAATCAAGAAAACAAACTCAAAACAACTCAAAACCACCCGACATAGTGAGGAACCCGTTTCCCAGGACACCGCAAACAAAGGGGTAGGACACCACCACCCAGCCGCCAGCACCACCACTCTCCAGCAACTAAGAAAAAAAGACAAAAACAAATTACAATAAAATAACATCCAGCCAACAATACAAAAGGGACACAGCCCTGGTTAAAACACATACGTGATAAGTGTTTAAAATGGAACTGATCTGGCGCACGTATAAACAGGATGCCAGGCAGTTCAGCGAGGCGACCGATATTCGGCACACCAAGCTGCAGACCGGCCCCTCACGCAGTCCTACACAGCGCAGTGTAGTACGACAACACTTCCAGGGGGGAGATAAGGTTGAAGAAGTGACTGTCACCTTAAACTTCATCTTGGAATACACCCCAGTTGTCAGCCAAAACATACTATCCACTGACCCATCTAGCTGGACCTCAGAGGACCTAGTTGGTACAATAGGCAATTTCTTCCTTGATTTAAGTCAAAAGCCAATTTGTAGTTGAGCTGCTGCTGTTGTCACAATACTAAAACACTCAAAACAAAGGTTTAAACATTGTCAAAATAAACATTAGTATTGGAGTGATTAGTGCCGTCTATGCGGTCATTGCCAAAATAGCAAACCAAAATAATATATAGCGCAATAGACGCAGGCTTAAGCCACCACGGTTACCAGCTTGCATGAATAGATCCAGGCTGCCAGGAAATAACCAAACCCAAAATAATGCTGTAATTGTTCCTTCGATCTCAGATGCTTTCTCCCTTACTGTCTCTCATAATAAAAGCCCAGTTTGACAGGCCAGTGGACTATGCACAGGAGAGGGTCTTCTGTTGCTGTTCAACACACATTTGTATCATTGAAGACTACACCCAGCACAGTGCATTCTTATTCTCCCCCTGTATCCATTCTTATATTAGAAATGTCTTCAGATGCCAATAAAGGCATAATACAGTTCTACACATGCAGCATTTGCAAGCGAATTGCGGTGCCCCGTGTTGCCTCTGATGGTAATCAGAAAACATTGTGCTGTGAGAGACAGAATAGCAAGTCCAATATTGAGTATGATTGTGCTGAATGTTATCTGATAGAGATGTTGGGAAAAGAGGCGTACTGTCTGTACACTGAATGCCAAGCTGCTTGGTAGCAGTAAGATACGGGAAAAAGAAACAGCTGGAACAAATTATTCTTGAATCATAGTCACAGCTCTGCAAGCATGTGAAACCAAAAGTAAATAGAACAAGCACATGGTGCAGATAACTTATGGTTGTGTTACATGGGAAATATAGTTAAATTGTTAAAGAAGGAACTTGTGCGGCATCCTTTGTGATGTCAGTAAACAACATATCAACTCTCTTCCTCTCTGTCTCATTTGTGTCCATCTCATTTTCCTCCCAATCAAACTTCCATTTCACTCGTATTTCTCTGCAGCCTCAACTTATTAATATGCTCCTCAGTGTCTTCTTCTCTATTCATATTTCACTCTTGATCTCCCTGCCTGTGATTTATTTTTGTCCCCTATACAGCATCTCTGGTTCATCTACTGTTGTTCTTTTGCTTTTCTAACAACCAATATAGTGTATTTAGATTACATTTAGCAGCCCACAGATTACTCTTGTGCACATTTCCACCTCCAAAATCCCTCCAGAAGAACTGCTTACCCCATAGCAGGATCCTTTTTAACATCTGAAATACTGACAATTTGGTTGGTGACAGGTAAAAATATGCTGCTGTCGGCAAAAATAACGCACTAAGCAAAATTTATAAACTTGAACTAGAAAAAAAAAAAGGTGAACGTGTTTGCATCAGAATGAGGTGCAAAGTGAAGAATGTATTAAGGCAAAGGAAAAGATAATAAAGGCTAAAACGTTAAAAGAAATGATTGAAATTTGGGTATGATAATTCTGTCAATAGACACCGCATTTAGACTTTTAACAACCTCAAAGGAACGTTTTTACATCAACTATCATGATTTTATGTAAACCCACACGCAGTAAAAATGAAATGAAATTCATTATAAAGGATGGCCGTTTTTGGAACTATGTCAATAAAAACGGATATGTTTAGAACTTGAGGTATATTCATTAAGGGGATAATGGGTTGTATTGCAGTACAACAAAAACATTTATTGTGAAAAGGAAAAAGGAACTAAGGGAGATCGAAGAGATTGATGTCTTATAGAACATTTTTCCTGCTTTCCTCTATCTCATGAAATCCCTCCTTCTACTCACATCTGCTTTGACCCAGTAAACTTAGTTGTGAACCTCAATCACAGTTTTCTGATTTGCTACATCAGTCATGTGACAACAAACACACAACCTCTCTCTCTCTCTCTTTCGCTCCCCCTTCTAAGATGCAGAAGCGAGCAAAAATAAAATCCTGGTCTGTTTTGCTTTGATGATGTCTGTCCTTCTTTTCAGAATCTGCATAAGAACCATTTATTGCCAAGTATTTTGCACTTTTACGGAATTGTACTTGTCCGAATGGTGCAAACAATAAACATAAATAGACATAAATGTATATAAGTGTTCATATAATAATATAAGGTGTCCAGACCCATTTCTTGCCATGTCCTCAGTATCGTCTCTACTTTTGAAAATGTTCTTTTTTTATTGTTATTTCTTGCTCAAAAGAAAAATCACTTCCCCTGCTTGAAGCTGGCTAACTATCTCCCTATTTTTACCATTTGTACCCTTTTGTCAGTTTAGTGACAAATCCTGTATTAACATTTCCATTTATTGGCTTTTTCAGTAACTGAAAACCCAGTCGGGAAATGAACGAATCATTTCTGTTTCCTTGACTGAGCCTTTGCAACACTCACGAGAAATTGAACGATTCTCTCTTTGAGAGGACTCGTTAATCCCGAGTCCTTGTAAGGATTCTTTCAAAATGAACTAATCGTTCACGAACAACACATCACTACAGGTTAGATTTTGCGCAACCGCTAGTTGACATTTTAGCTTTTAGCTCGGTGGCGATTGCCGAAAACCCCCCAGAAATCCCACAAATGATCGGTTTCGGGCAATGCAAGCTTTCACAAAGGGATAATAAGGTGGACGTCATGAGCGATGTGAATGAATGAGATGGTGCGGTCCCCAATACTGTTTACGTACACATGAGGGGACTATTTTTTCTCTAGACTACTGAAATGCGATACACAACGTTTGGTGGCTACAATTATTTTGTGCTGAAAGGCAGCTATTTACTTAGTAGTTATAACTTCGCTGGTAACCGTATTATAAAAGCAATAAGGTACTTGAGGCTGCACTTTATCTTCTGCGCGTCGGGCCTAACAACACCCCCGAACTGTCACATTATTGGACGATAAAGTACAGCCTCTCGTACCTAATTGCTTTAGTAGCCTATATTGAAGTAATGTAAACCTAAGCAGATACTAAAGTAACTTCCCCTCTGTGTTTGCCCTTTATTTATTCAGGAATATAACAATAAAGAGATAACAAGCACTAAAGGCTTCAAATAACCATTTGTAATAACAATGATAATAGCAGTGATAAAGGAACCTAAAAAAAAAAATTCCACATAGATTTTATTCTGCAAAATCTGCATTCTACTTTTTTGCCAGGGAGCAGCTTGCTGCTCGCTCACGGGCAGCAGATCTTTTTGTACTGACCCCTCACATGCAGTTTAATAACTGCTGGACACAAAGCCATCGCAGAAGAATTTTGTCTTCACTCTGTCCGTGAACCTTTTCTTTTCTCTATTTTCTGCCGCTATCTTGCACCACCCTGCACCGCCCTACCTTCACCACCTCCATCTCGTACTCTTGCTGCTTTCCCATGATTTCATGCACATTGCAGCAGCAGATCTGACAACCACATCCTCTCTCCTGTCCTTTCTCCACGCCGGACCCCTGAGGGAGTGGTGTTGGTGGTGGATCTGGGTTCAATTTCTATTGTGTAATATTGTAATACACAGGTCAACACTTCACACGACTCCTTTTCACCCAGAAACATCGCTTCAATTTTGCCCGTTTTCCGCCAGTCGGACTGAAAACAATTAGGTCCACGTGCATTTTTTATTTATCTTTGACTTTACCGTCTTCCCTCTGTCTGTGTTTATCTTATTCTATTCTGTTGCCTACATTACCTCCTTGTTGTATTCTAATCCTGCTTAATGTGAGGCCTAAATGAAAAGGCAGTTGTTATCTCCGCTAAAACTGCTGTGGAAGAAACTTTTGACCTGGCAATAAATTCATTTTTAATACTGTTGGCTTTGTTTCAAAGCCTTACACAACGCAGTAATAGCCCCTGTTAAGAGGACATTTGAAAGGGTTGGTTCTTGGTTCAGATGCTATCGTTCTTTATTTTCCTGTACTTTTCAGCAGTAAAACTGTGGTGCAACATACCTGATCCAAATCTGGTAAATGAGGCCTGCAACTCCAGCTGCTGACTAGGCCAGACACGTACAGAGGGGACAGGGGTGGCAGGCCAATGAGAACCAGGGCTGGATATTGTTGCCTCACAATCATTTGAGTGAAGATCTGGGACTGTGATACATACAAACACTGTGGCACGTTTACCCGGCGTTAAATGAGAAATGAATCCTCTGACTAGATTATTAAAACAGTTTGGCAGTTTATGTCATGGAAGACATGAGAGAAATGTGCCTGGATTTAACCTTCCTTCTTTAAAGATGTGATTAGCTTGTTGCCTTCACATGAGATTTGCCTCATATACGCAATCACTTGCAACTACCGTACATTCTTTAGTTCAATGTATTCTTTACTTGAATATATTGAACTGCCCCTCATTACCCAGCAATGGTGTCCAGTATCTCTAAGGGCATTACACAACTCTTACACGTCAGGACTGCACCAGCCAAATGAGTTTAGAGGTTTCCATATACTTCAACTGAATTTTGATTGCTATCCATTCCAACAAAAAACGCTGTGTCCTCCGGCCCCTCGGAGCCGGGCTCTAACAGACGCTTTGATGTGATTATAAGTCTCACGGAGGGACTATGTGAAGCAGACTGTTGACGATGAATGGTGGCATTCATGAACTAAACATCTGACCTTAGCGCTCTCGCCTCAATAATAAACATGCTCTGTAACAGAACACTTCAAGGAGTGAAAAATGCACCTGCAGGCAAGACCTGTTTCTGATCTGGTCAATCTGGTCTCCCTTCACTATGTAAGTGGAGGACGGGCAGTATGGCGGACTGTCAGTAACTGAACCACAGCCTCCGCTCTCCATCTGAACAGTGCCAGAAGAGGAGATTATTTGGTCTTTTCACACAAGGACTTGGTATTCTGGCCTGCCGGGTCAAAAACACATCACCTGAGTTTGATGGATTGGTTATTAAATAACAGGGCAGATGCTCAGATGTAACTATAATTTTTGTAAACATGACTAGATAGTAAATTCAGTTTATTTGAGGAAGCACATGTCCACCCTGATATGAGATATGACTGGTGGTGTTACATTTTAACACAGTAGGTAATGAATGAAACAGTTTATCGGACCTCGTCTGAACTTTTTGAGAGAAGAACATTTCTAAAAATCCATCAAAACAAAATAAAGTTGCGACATGCAAAAATGAAAGATGGAATAAGACTATATATAAACTTGACGGAATTGAACTAAGTGAGCACACACACGCACACAGACACACACGGGTACACTAACATTGTTGTTTCCAAACTCAAACCACATGGAAGCACAGCTGTGCGTCTGTTTTGTATCATGCAGCTTAATTTTTGTCCTTCCAAAAGTTCTACATATAGATGTCCTCCCTCTTATTAATTATCAAAATGATAGGGAGCCTGTGCCTTGTGTGTGTCTGTGCGGGCCTTCATACGTGCCTCCCTAATATGGTTTAGTAAATAAATTGAAATGCTAATTATACAGTGACTTTGCTGTCATTTCAGCATCAACTTTATATATCAGCTTGCTGCCTGTGTGAGATTCTTAAACCGACTAATTCGCATCTTATTAAATCATTGCATTTTATACATTGTTGTTTTAATGCATTTCTCATGGACATACGTCTTTTTTTAGGAATTCATATGAATATGGGAAAATTGTGATTTCCCCCAAGTACATTATAATTATGACATCATTTATTTCAGATCACTGTGTGGCAGCTGGCACCGCATGTGTGGCACTTAAAAGACAAACAAAGCTTACTTAATGTCTTTCTCCTTCACTATTGCTCTCACTCACCGTCTCCCTGCTCGTCTCTTTTGTACTTTTTACCTCGCTCGCTCTCTTTCCACATCGCACCTCTCTTTATCCCTATCACTTTTAGAATAAATAGTTCAGAGGCAGAACTCCAAGGGAACACGCCATGATCCTGCACACACACACACACACACACACACACACAGGGACCTCCAATGTGTGTTGCTTTTTCCAGAGACTGGAGGGGGTTCTGGGAGCAAAAATAATGAGCTCATCAGTTCAGCCTGGAGGTGGTGTTGGCAACACACACACACACACACACACACACACATACACTACATTTTTCTTTCTTTTTACCCTACACACAGACACAGAGGCAATTACAACGATCCGGTATGCTATTCCATCCAACCGTCTTCCCCGTGACTCACTGTAAAGACTCTGGGAGGCTGAAACTATTGTTCTCCGGCCTCCTTTTTTTGGGGCCTTTTCCCTTCTTGTAGCACGGAAACAAATGTAGTTTCAAAAGAGGAGTGCCCGTGCCTCTGTGCCTGTGTTAGTCAGTGCTCATGTTTGGCACCTTGGGTGTTTGTTAAGATGCACAAGCGTGTGTGTCAGTACTGTACGTTTGCTGAGATCTGCTATTCTCCAGCACTGATATGGAAATTTGCTGTTGGATGTTTTTATGAAGCGGAGGTTGTGCGTGGCGGGCGTGCTCTATGTGTGCATGTCTGAAGGCATGCATACAGTAATGAAAGTGGAGATGATGATGAGGAGCAAGAGGCTGGTGATGGAGTGTTTTCAAGTGTTGTCTGCAAGAAGACTTGACTTGTTTGTTTGAAGGGAAGATTATTATTTGAATGAACTGCATGAACTCAGAGTTAAAGCATAGCAGTTTGAGAAACGGAGGTTATGAACTAGTTGATTGAAAAATTGCCTCAATTTTTTGTGCTCTCTGCAAAGTAAAACATCAAGGGGCTGGTCTAAATCCATACAAATAGAGATAGAAAAATGTCCATAAAGAAGAAGAAGTGGACTGTCTCCTTAAAATATTGTTAATGTTCTGTTCATGGAATCATTTGCAATGATACGCTATTCGGCTGCGGAAAAATAGATTAATTCAACAGGGTAAACTGATCATTTCAAGGACAACATTGCATATAATAACTGCTGTTAAATGTGTTACATTGTTTTATAACAAACTTCACATTTCCTTTAACTTATCATGCATTCTTTGTTTTATTGTCAGTAATGCTTCTTTACAATCAACATGATCAATATGGTAATCCATTGAGCCGCAGAGTCTCACTTAACTTTGAAGAGACAATACATTTGACCTAAAAATCAATCCCAGGTTAATTAACACATGGTGGATTGTTACAGCTCATCAATCATTTCCAGCCTGGGCTCCTTGGCTTGGTGCAATTTGCTCTCATCGGTTTAATTGAGATTTCTTATGAGTGAAATATAAAGACAACAGAATGTCGTGTGGATTATTGATTCAGTGGTTCAGTCTTTCCACCGTCCCTGCTAATCTTAAAGGGTTTCTGCTTCCCCTTCTCGTCCAGACTCTTGACTTTTATTCGCTGTACCCTTCAAGTTTTCCCCTCCCCTTGTCATCCACCTCTTAATCCCTCTCTATTCCTCCCCCCACCTCCGTTTTTTCTCACCCTTTATCCTTCCGTTGCCAGGTATTATTTTGGAATAATGATAGTCTGCTATGTGGTCTCACAGCTGTGGGTTATTAGATCCAATATAATTTCTAAAGCAATAAATGGGAGACAGTACTTGTGTGTATTTTATTCTTTGTATTTCTTTTTTTCATTACTTCCAGAACATATTAACAAGCTTACTTTTTATCCGTACAGGCTCAAGCTTAATTACATTCAGGGAAGCGCCGCTATCAGCCATGGAGCAGAATAAGTAACGAAGGCTTTTTTGATTAAGACCAAAGTTTGTGTTTTGGGTTCCATTTTTTTATTAGTTAATATGTGGATTCTTGCTGATGTCAGTCATGACTGCAAGCTGAG